ATTCTAACATAATTAACATTTCCTATTTATGTAACAATATGAATGAAAGTTTAAAATAAAAATCTGTATAATTTTATAAACCCAGGAATTTGTACCAGGTGTGGTGGTGCACTCCTTTAATCCCAGCACTTGTGAGGAAGAGGCAGGTGGATCTCTGAGAAGTCTGGTCTACAAAGTGAGTTCCAAGACAGAAAAACACTGTCTCAAAAAACAAAGCTATCAAAAAAAAAAAAAAAAAAAAACCAAAATAAAACAAACAAAAAAAGACCCTGTCTCAAAATGAAACTAAAACAAACACCCCCCCACACACCTCAACAAACCCAGAAATTAACAGACAAGTAAAAGATGTATGGAAGGATGTTTACTGTTAGGTTGCTTAAATGAACAAAACATGCAATTTAAGTATGTATACAGGGGAAATTAGGAATTTATGGTGGCGCCACAGAAGGGAATACCAATTGGCTATTACCTTGATGACATTCTACCTTATTTAGTTAGACTAAATTTAGTTATTTAGTTAGACTATTTAGTTAGGCCAAAAAGAAAATAGGCAGTTTTATGGGTGACTGCCAAGGAAAATAGATGATAATATATGTAAAACAGCAACAATCTCTTCATATTGAAATTATTAATACTTTTCCTTTCTCTTATTTATATTTTGTTATACCTTAATGCAATGATGTAAGTTACTGTGCCTCTGCCCCTTCAACCAGATGGGTGAAAAACAGAAAACCAGATATCTATTTGCATCAGTTGGGAATTTCTATTCATCAACATAAATGATGCTTTAAGATTATGCCACTGCAAACCAGTACCTAGGAGACTCAGACAAGAAGCTTGACAGTTTTCAGGCTAGCCTGGACTACATAGTGACTGTGTCTCAAACATTCTTTAAAAACATTTTTTTAAAATGCTATTGCAGTGTTAAAAAGTTGGTTGTTTCCTTATTGCTGTTCATTTCATCAATAAGGAAGAACTTCCTTAACTCCTAATAAATGTTGAAATTACATTATTGCTTATACTGGATCTCTTCTTCCTCCCTTGAGCCATGTTAACCATGTCCTCTAACGAAGTTTTCCTTCTTTTCTTTAAGCTAATACCTATACAATTTTCCAGCTAAGGCTGAGAAGCTACAGGAGCACACAGATTCAGAGAGTACAATTACAGTATGAAGAAGTAGTAATTCCTTTACCACATACACCATTCATCTATGGTCCAAAGAGCTACATGCTCATTTAGTGCTTTTTATAGTCACAGAATATGATTTTCATTCCTCTTATCACTTAGCCTATTAACAACCGCATGAGATGAAGTATTGTCATCTCTATTCTATAATTATGGTTCAGAGAGGCACCTGGTCCTAAGGTCACTGAATTAATAAGTAGTGGAGAAACAGTTCAGTCCAGATATGTTTAATGCCAAAGTTCTTGTTCTTTGCTTTACACTACAGTGCTTGCATTTTATTTTGACATGAAAGAAAGAAAGAAAGAAGAAAGAAAGAAAGAAAGAGAGAGAGAAAGAAAGAAAGAAATCCAAAACAAACAAAAAAAGGTTCAGGAAAACTGCTCAGCAGTTCAGTTCAGAGCACCAGGTTCTTTTCTAAAGGACCCAAGTTCAAATCCCAGCACTCACATGGTGAGACACAACGATCTATAACTCCAGTCCCAGGATCTAACACCTTCTTTTGGCCTCCTGGGTATCAGGCACACACATGATGCAGACATACATGCAAGTAAAATACCCACACATATAAAATAAATGAATAAAAAAATAAAAATAATAATATCTTAGAGCAAAGAAATAATACCAACCACAATAGGTAAATACAGTTAAGTTGGTTCCTAGCTTTTTTTGTTCATTTTTGTTTTTTTAATAATTTATTTTTTATATATGAATTACAGTTTATTTACTTTGTATCCCAGCTGTAGCCCCCTCCCTCATTTTTTTTTTTTGTTTTTTTCTTTTTTGATATTGGGTTTCTCTGTGCAGCACTGACCATCCAAGAACTCACTCAGTTGACCTCCAACTCAAGAACTCACTCTGTAGATCTCTCAAACTCAGAGATCCACCTGCCTCTGCCTCCCCAGTGCTAGGATTAAAGACATGTGCCATTACTACCAACCCAGTTCCTAGTTGTTGTTGTTTTTTTTTTAATAGGTTAATTTACTGGGTTACCAACTTACTGAAACTTAGTTACATAGCTTAAGCATGGTTCCACTACAGAATGATCCCTTGTCACTGCTACTTCAAGCAAAATCTTTGTTTGTTTTGAGACAGGATTTCACTGTGTAGGTTGGCTGGCCTGGACTCCCCTTGTAGGCAAGGGTAGACTTGAACTCATAGAGATCCACCTGTCTTGCCTCCTGACTGCTGTGATTAAAGATGTATGTCACCTTTCAGAAGAAGAAATTAATTTATTATCAACAATAAAAAAAAAAAAGCTTGACTGTGGTGGTACATGCCTTTAATCCCAGCATTGGGAGGCAGACACAGATAGATCTCTGTGAGTCTCAGTCCATCTTGGTCTACATGATGAATTCCAGGACAGCCAAGACTACATAAAGATCCTGCAGCAAATAAAGATAGATAGATAGATAGATAGATAGATAGATAGATAGATAGATAGATAGATTATAGACAGACAGACACACAAAAACAAGAGGAGACTGGGAAATGCCTTAATGAGAGGATTTGAGTTTGGACCCTAGCACTATGTAAGAGCCAAGAGGTGACTTACACACTCCAGTAATCTCAGCATTGGGATGTAGCGACAGGAGGATTGCTGGAGCTTGCAACCAGCCAAACTAGCCAAAATTGTGAGTTGGCTGGGTCCAGTGAGAGATCGGTTGAGAGAGAGAGATAGGTTGAGAACAAAAGAGACTAGAGGTATGCTTATCACTCTAGTTGGCAATGTGAATCTGGGAAAGAGGGGCCTAAAAAAATTAATGAAATTTCATTTTTAAATTTCTATGATGATGGGGCTATAGAGATGGTTCAGCATTTAGCAGCAATGGCTATTTCGGAGAAACCAGACTCCCTTATCATCTATGCAATTCTATGCAATAGCCAACTTCATTCACAGCATCAATTTATACTCTGAGGGTTAAGAAAAGTCACCTGAATAAAGTGTACAATTCACAAGGACAAGCTGCATGTGGCAAAAACATGTTTTTCCATAGAGGCATATGAATAACAACAGTTGAAGCAAACTCACACCTATCTGCTACACCTGGGAGGAACACAAAAACACAATCTAAGAACATTTCAGTGTTTTGAAGAAATTGAGGTCATAAGACTTGTTTGTTTTCTTACAATTTCTCACTCAGAATTCTCATATAACTCCATTCTTGAACTGTGCTCCCACAGAGGTAGACATCCAACACTGATCTCTGGTCTGCACATGCAAAAGCACACAAACGGGCATACAACACACAAATGGGCTATAATGAAACACTGCACTATGAGTAATAAATATTTCAACTATGTCAATTAGTGGTATAAAGATCCAAAGCCTGGAGTGGTGGTGGAAACCTTTAAAATCAGCACCCTGGATGCAGCAGGATCATGAATTACAGGCCAGTCTGGACCCTTTGGCAAGACTGTTTCTAACAATTCAAAAAGTCAAGTGTTAAAAATGAACTGACATTTTAGAATACCTACTTAGATTTATAACTGGTGTGCTATTATAAATCACTCAGAAACTTTGCTGAGAAAAACCTGTATAGCCTACATAGTCCGAATTTATTGATGCTATTTAATTTCTTCACTTAAAAATACCCTTTTCTTCCTATTATAGAAAGCGTACATGCACACTGGAAATTTAGGCAAGTGCTTTTTGAGATTTAACTAATTTTTTTTTTTTTTTTGAGAAAGATCTTACTGTGTAGCTTTGCCTGAGCTGGAATTCACTGTATAGATCAGGCTGGCTTGGAACTCATGCTCAAACCATGATCTGCCTGGATGCCTCCTGAGTGCTGGGATTATTTTTATTTTATGTGTATGAGTATTTACTGGAATGTATATCTGTGCATCAAATGCATGCAGTTCCGTGAAGGTCAGTAGAGGGCATCAGATTCCCTGGGAGTGTAGTTACAGATAGTTTCAAGCTACCATGTTGATGCTGGAAATGAAAGCTGGATCTTCTGGAAGAGGAGCCAGTGTTCTTAACCATTAAGCCATTTTTCTGGTTCCAGCATCACAAAAATTTTTATTAAAACACAGGTATTTCAGATATTCCATACATAGTTTTTTTGTTTTGTTTTGTCTTGCCAAACATCATCCCCCCCCAAGAAATTAAAAAAAAATACACTTATTTTTATTCATTTTATGTGTATGGGTGTTTGGCCTGCATTACTGTCTTGCACTATGTTCACAGAAACCAGAAGAGGCATTGGATCCTCCAGAACTGGAGCTTCAGACGGTTGTAAGCCACCATGTAAGCGATGGGAAGGGAGCCTGGTTTCTCTAAAACAGCCATTGCTCCTAACTGCTGAGTCATCACTACAGCCCCATCATCACAGAAATTTAATCTCATTAATTTTGCATATGTGTGCATGTGTGGGCACACATATGGAAATCAGAAGGCAACTTGTGGGAATTCTCTCCTTCTACCATTCAGGTCCTAGGAATTAGTCATCAGGTGTGGCCAGGTGTTTACCCTCTAAGCTATTTGCCTAACTCTCAAAGTGAAAATTTAAAAGGCAACTTCTCTTTACTCAGAGATGAGCAGCATTGGCACATGACTAAAATCCTTTGGAAACAATTCTATGTGATGGCATGTCTGAATTTTTATGAAAATAGTGTTGACTTCTTAACCTTTTTACACAGTATGACCTCATTCCGATGTCAGTAACAATATGCATGATAGAATAATTTCCTTGTGTGAACATTTAGGGTCCCATCTACACTCTGTAAGCACAAGCAGTACTTACATGCACTCAAGCATCTCCAGACACTATGCTGTTGCACCCAACACATCTTCTTGCTGAACAAATGCTTACCTTGCAATAACAGACTCAATTGGCATGATACCAGGCACATAGTGGGCCATGGGAGAAACAAAGTGTCCATCTAGGATCTTACAATCTGACTGTTCTTCAACCTAAAAGAAAAGAAAACCAAGGTGTATGCAAAGTAGACTACGATATAGGTCTATCATGGACTTTTTCTGATAAAAAATTCTATTCAACTAAACACTAACATTCTCTCTCAATTCTTGCACATGAGCCTCATTTTTACCTTTAAGGGGTGAGCACAAAAACTTTCTTCCTTTTTGCCCAGTGATTTTTTTTCCCACCAAAAGTTATCTTTTTATTCAAGACTATTTATAGTTTTATGTTTATTTGAAGAATATAACTGATACCTTCTGAAATATTTTATGCTTTTCTTTCAAACCCTTCCATTTACATTTAACATTACATTTACATTTATCCATTCTGTCTTTTGAAAGACAGTGTCTACTTATAAATATTTATTTTTCTTCTACATGGCAGTATAATAAAAATTTAATTCATACACTGGCAGGTAATGTCTCAAAATAAAATACAAGTTAAAGGAATTCAGTACCACTCAACAGGGCTAGAGGTACAGCTTAGTATAGTATGTGGCAAGGCAGGAGACCCTGGATTCAACTCTAGGTTCCACAAAATAAAAACAATCAAAAGTATTCAACAGTATAAAAGCAATCAAAAGTACAGCAGTAATGCAGCAGTAATTTGGTGTGGTCTAAGCTATCAAGTATTCAGAATGGTTTGATATAACATTACTTTCTGGCGTATTATGTAAAGAGAAAGGGGATTTTTATCTGTAGTAAAGGCAATTTCTAGGCACTTTGATAATAGATGCTTAAAATCACTACAGTTTTGAAGCTGAGGCAGGAGGCTCACAAGTTCAAAGTTAGCTTGGGTTACATAGTAAGACCTTGTTTCAAAAAAAAAAAAAATCGCAACTATCAACAAAAAAGGCAATTTTGCTAACATTCAATACCTAAGCTTACTTCTCAAGAAGTTACTTTTTAGCATAAAAAAAAATCCTATTTCAGGTCAAAAGTTAAAATTAAAATAGCAGGAAGGTATCACATATTTTCACTACAATAAAACAAAAACTTAAAAAATCTCATCTTGTCAATGGCTGTAGTTATTCAAATCCAGAATTTTTCTAGTTTTGTATCTGTGAATTAACATTAGTAAACTGTTTTCTTTCGCACAGCAGGTACTCTACCAATGAACTACATTCCTTGGCCCTACCATTAAAAAAAAACAAAAACAAAAACAGAGGCCTAGAGAAATGACTGTAGTTGGAAGCACATACTGATCTTCCTGAGGATCTGAGTTTGAGTCTCAGTACCCACATCAAATGGCTTACAACTGCCTATAATTCCAGCTGCAGAGTGATCTCACACCTCTAACCTTTGTAGGCGCTTGCATTCATTCATGGGCACATACCACTCCCACACATACACAGAATTAAAATAATAAAAATAAATCTTAAAAAATAAAATTAAAAAAGCTGGGTGTTTTGGGGCAGGCTTTTAAATCAGCACTCACAGGTGGATCTCTGTAAGTTGGGGCCAGTCTGGTCATTAGAGTGAGTTCTAAGACTACCAGGGCTATACAGAGAAACCCTGTCAAAAATAAAAAACAAAACAACAAAAAACCCTACAGGGGGATGGAAAGCGGGCTCAGTGGTTAAGAGCACTGGCTGCTCTTTCAGAGGACCTGGGTTCAATTCTCAGCAGTTCCATGTGATCTGACACCCCCACACAGACATACATGCAGGCAAATCGCCAGTGCATAAAACAAAACCAAACAAAACCACCCCATCTCCAAAAAACAAAACTAACCAATCAACCAACAACAACAACAACAACAAATCCAAAACAAATTACAAACTATAGCTGGTTATGTAAATATCTATTTAACAATAAAAAAAAAAGGTTACAATGGTATTTTTATCACCCATTGGGCAACCAAGCATTGCTGATCAGATTTCAATCCGCCTATAAATTTTTATACCAGTAGAATATTATGTCAGTAAGTGCAGGCTTACAACATTCATTTATATATGACTACATTAATCTGTTTGCCATTCTTCCTGTTCATAGTATTCCTGTTCTGACTGTACATTTCTGAATTGTCCCAAAATAGAGATGATTTTTTGTTTGTTTGTTTTGTTGTCGTTGTTTTTAGAGACAGGACTTCTCTATGTAGCCTTGGCTGTCCTGGACTTGCTTTGTGGAGCAGGCTGGCCTTGAACTCTCAGAGATCTACCTGCCTCTGCCACCCCAAGCGCTGGGATTACAGGTGTGCACCACGTCTACATTAGTATCATTTGTGTTTGTATCTGTGTTTGTAGTCTTGAACTCAAATGTATAGTCAAGGATGCCTTTCAATTTCTGATCCTCTGCCTCTACTTCCCAAGTGCTAGAATTACAGGTGTGTGTCACCACAACAGGTTTTATGCAGTGCTGAACATCAAACCTCAGGCTTTGCGTAAACTAGGCAAACACTCTATCTATATCCTTAGCTCCCCAAATTCTACACTGATTAGCTGGCTGGGATAAGTGCAAGCACTGGTGAGAATCTCACACTGGACTCTGATACAATGCTGGTGTGGATGTACAAAGGTGCGGCTACTTTGCGAAATAGTCTGGAGTTTTGCTGGGTTATAGATAGAGTTATCATATGAACCAATAAACAATAAACTCACAGGTATAATCAACAGAACTACTTCATACAGAATGCTCACAGAACATTTGTACTTGAGTGTTCACAGTTGCTTATTCATAAGAGCTCAAAACAGTAGAAACAACCCAATGTCTATGAATTTATGAGTACATAAGAAATTAACTGTTACAAAAAATTGATACATGGTAAAACATGGATGAGCCTTATAAACACACTAACAGAGGCATGAGATTTTGCTTTCTGGGTAATGTACTTGTGGTACAAGATTGGCAATACCAGATTTCAATACCAGAATTTGCCTAAAGGTGGAAGAAGAAAACGAAGTCTGCAATGTTGTCCTCTATTCTAAAATTTCCCTGTGTGAGGTAGCACGGGTGCCCACGCACATACACCATGTACACAACCCAATAATGATGAAAACTAATTGATTAAATACTATCCTCTAAGAGCCATTTCTAAGAAACATCCTAAATGGGAGACTCCAGAGATACAGAAAGCGAATTAGTAACTGCTAGTAAAAGGGAACAGAAGCAGTGGGAAACCATAGCTAGAGGGTCAGTGTGTCTTTGGGGTCAATGAATGTTATAGAATAAAATGGTAAAAAAATAAAAACGTGGTTATATACTTAGGTAACAAATCTAAAACATTCCACTGTATACTTTAAAAAGATAGTTTATTATAATGACACATTCATTATAATTTAAATTTTAATCCCTGATGGGATGTGTCCTCAAATTGTTAACTATCCTCTTTGAGTGCACATAAAAAGGATCAGGATGTGGAGACTAGCAGAGCTGAACGGAAACTTGATTTTTTTTTTTTTTTTTTTTGAGCTGAGGTCTTCCTATTTAGCATAGGGCTAGCTGTCCTAGAATTCATTATGTAGACTGGCTGGCTTTGAGTTCAGAGATCTGCCTGTCTCTGCCTCCTCAGTGTAGGTTAAGGTAATTGCTCGCTTGCCTGGCTGTTCTATTTTTTGTAACAAAGTCTCTTGGTGAACCTGGAGCATGCAGTCTCTATTAGACCAGCAAGTCTCAAGATTCCTGTCTTTGGCTCTCCAGCACTAGTATTTAAGGAACCCACTTCCATGCCTGGCTTTTATGTGGATACTGGGGATCTGAACTCAGGTCCTTGTGCAATAGACACTATACCCACTGACCATCTCCTCAGCCTGTAAAAGCCTACTTTTTTTTTTTTTTTTTTTTTTTGAGATAGGCTCTCTTTATGTAGCTCTAGCTGCCCTGGAACTCACAGAGATCTCAAGCTTCTGCCTCCCAAGAGCCACCACATTTGGCTAAAGGCAAACATGTGTCTGTATATATACTTACATATATATATGTGTGTGCGTGTTTTGGTTTTTTTTTTTTTGAGACAGTTTCTCTGTATAGCCTTGGCTGTACAGGAACTCTGTAGACCAGGCTAGCCCTGAACTGACAAAGATCTCTCTGCCTCCTCTGCCTCCTGAGTCCTGGGATTAAAGGTGTGTGCCATCACTGCCTGGCTCAAAAGCCTATGATTTTTAAAAGGAAAACAAACAAACAAAAAAACAACTCAGAGAAAAACAGAAACATTTACCAAAATTTGAATCACAAAGAAATTTTTAAAAATGTAGACCAGATGTAACATTTATGTTGTAGAGAAGGTTTCCATTTACAAGTTTCCAGTTTTTATCACAGAGAAGATTCTAATGAAACCTAAATATATCCAACATATAAAAGATGCAAGTATACTAACTTCAACTGAAGGTCAAGGGTGAATTGTGAAACCCACCCATCTAGTCCCCTTCTAATATTTATTATTTGTTATTAATATTTAATATTTCAAAGTATTCAATCACACACACACTTAGATTTTACATAAGCCAGCTGACTGCTAATAAAATGAAAGATTTAAAAAGTATTCTCCCCTCTCACACTTTCTAAGCACTGTATTCCTGGAACTTCCTGATAGTTGCTTTTGTAAATAATGCCTAGTGTGCTGATCCTCCAAAAAGATTGCTGTCTTTTAATACTTACTAGTCTTCTTTAATATTCTTCTTTAATGTTGAATAATTGAACCCCTCAGGAGCCTAAGGATACAAAATGAAACTCAGAAAAATGCAGCCTAAATACTGTGTATTCAGGCAAATACTAAACATATGTTCCCCAGTACTTATGAATAAAATTACTAACGTGGTTGGGACAGAACATTCTTTAAATACGCATACACACTCTACCGCACTGTCGCAGGTGACTGCGACAGGACCGCAGCAGACAGGTTGTTTGTGCATACCTTGTCAATATGTACCGGATAATCGCTTGAAACCAGGTTTTGGCACCTTTCTCGATTTCCAATCATCTTTCTGAATTCAAAGAGTCTATTAGGAGACAAAAAGGTTGTGGGTGTTTTTTTTTTTTTTTTTTTTTCCATTAAAAAAATCACCTTTTTAACTGTTAGGCCACATTCAATTTAACTTTTATCACTAATAAAAAAAGGCACTTTTCTCTCCTTTAGAAACTGGAAAACTTTTCTCAAAAAAATGAGACAAAATTGCTCAGAAGTAATAAACACATTTAAGATTCGAAATGAAAGGGACTAATCCTGAAATTAATTTTTCTTAGGTATAGGTTTTCCCATGTGCTCCAGTGTATTCCAGTTTCATAGTCACTGAAAACTGAGGCTACTGAGGAAAAACCAGTGCCTGGAAGCCACAAACAACTTCAATGCCTAGTGAAGACTAATGCTAAAAAACAGTTTGCACCCAATGCATGATGCTATAACCTGAAAAAAAAAAATAGAAATAATTAAGAGGATAAAAGGAAAACTTTTTATGAAGTTCAATATTTAATTTTATCAATAAACTACTTTAGATTTGAAGCTACAATAGTTTAGAAATAAATTAAAAAATTTAAATGTGTATAAAACAACACATTCAAAGTAAGTATTCAGGTACTGGAGAGACAGTTAAGAAATTAGGAGCATTTGTTGCTCTTATCGAAGACCCAGGTTTGGGTCCCAGCACCCACATGGTGATTCACAATCATTCACAACTCCAGTTCCAGGGATCCCATGCCCCCTTCTGACCTCCACACGCACAAGGCACACATGGTACACACACATATATGCAGGCAAACACTTAAATGCCAGCAAGCACTCGTATACATAAACAGTCAAGCATTCACGAAACACGCACATACACACACCTCCACTCCCCACTCTACCTCTTGAGATCTTCTGGCCTTCCCCATCCTCTGATGAAAAGTTTTGTGAGGAGAAGTCTTCGGTATAGAATATCTAACTTGCTTACACCCATGAGTGTCAAACAGCATCTAGAAGTAAAATTTAAAATGACTTGAAAATAATTTTACTTGTTATCAAGGCAGCAGGTCAACTTTATAACCATTTATTTGAATAACAGGTAAAATCAAAGACTGAAGGATAAATCCTTGAATCTGCTTGTGTAAAAACACAGTAGGTTTGAAAACACAGTAGAAAGCTGGGCAGTGGTGGTGGTGCATACTTTAATCCCAGCACTCCAGAGGCAAACACAGTGGATCTCTGTGAGCTAAAGGCCAGCCTAGTCTACAAAGAGAGTTCCAGGACAACCAAGGCAACTGTTACACAGAGAGACCATGTCTCGGAAAAACAAAACAAACAAACATAGTAGGAGTTTTAGAAAATAAACTGGGATGGGAAGTAGAGAAATGAAGAGCCTAAGCTTCACTAAAAATGAATTCTTCTGCAGCAAGTGCTTCATTATTGATTATGGGGACCCTGTGTGTTGGAAAACAAGATTAAGTAATGCTACTCACACAGTATTGTATTATCAGTCAGGCACTATTTAAATAAACAAAACCACAAGGTGACCCTTGAAAAAGGCTTACCGGAATTATACAGAGGAAACGGGCACAGAGAGAACAGTTATTTATCCTAGGCCACATAGCTAGTGCGGAGGATGGCCAATTTTAATTTCAGAGAGGTTCACCACACAAACTCTTCATAACAGTAAAGAAACAACCATAACCAGTGCTTCTAGTTGGATACTATTTTATTCTCTCTCTCTCTCTCTCTCTTTTTTTTTTTTTTTTTGAGATAAGGTACAGCCCTGGCTATCTATTCTGGAATTCCTTTTGTAGATCAAGCTGGCCTCAAACTCAAAGAGATCTGTGTGCCTCTGCCTCCTGAGTGCTGAGATTAAAGGTGTGTGCCACTACTGCCCAGCTTATTTCTGAACTGTTTCTAAGAAATTTTTAATATGTACCTCAACTTTTCTCAATTAAAAAGTATAGTTCTGGGCTTGATATGTAGCTTAGGCAGAGTGATCGCTTAACAGGCATAAACCCTAGGTTCAATCCCCAATACTATAAAAATGAAAGATACAGTTCTGATTTAAGGGCAAAACTTGATTCAGATTCTAGCTTAACTATACAGATATATGAAAAACTATATTTCCATCAATTAACTTTAATAAATATTTATTGCTTCAAAGATTTTGAACAACTTTTACCTAGACTTTGATTCTGTGTTACTTCAGCTTAATGTTTTTCTTTTTTAGGGGAGGGGTCTCAAACAGCTCAGTCTGGTCTTCAACTGCCTATGTAGCTGACCCCTGAATTCCTGATCCTCTGTCTCTGCCTAAGTTCTGGGATTGCAGGTATGAACCACCATGCCCAGCTTTGTTTTGTTTTCTGTTCTTACTGAGATAGTATCTCTGTAGTCCATGATTGTTGGGGCTGGTCTCAGACTTGTGGCATTCCCTTTGCTTCAGCTTTCCACATGTTAGAATTTCATGTGCAACATTCCTGGTTGCCTTATCATGTTTGTGTAACTTACAGTTTAACCCACAATCAGCTATACTGGCACCTTACCTTCTTCTTATGACTGGACCTGCAAAGCAAGTTGTTCCCACTGCTTCACAATTCTCATAACTCTCAGAAGAACTGTCAAGCCCACAGCTTTGCATTAAGCCGTGGTTCTACGATAGAGAGCCCTAGGTGTAGAGGTGCAGTTGTCTGAGCCACAGTCTTGCAATCTGAATCACTTTTGTGAAGACCTCTCCAAACAAACAGAATGAACACTCCCTTCAGGAAGCCATTGTAACCAGTAAGATTTTGTTTCGGAACAACCTACACGTACTCCTTTTTGTCTTAGAAGTTTTCACTTATAAGTTGATATGCCATGTATGGTTGATATTTATGGGAGGTCTTACTATGTAGCTGAAGATAAATGGAGAAGTGGGTGGGGATTGGGGTTGTGTTCCGAATGAAATATGAGAAAAATTTTAAAAAGTTTCACTTGTCTCTGTTTCCTTAGATGTATCCATCAATATAAACATATCCTGGGTTTTAATCACTTGCATAGTCCCAAATAAATTCCCTTTTTTGAAAGTGTCTCTGCTGTTAAAATGCAAAGAAGCAACACTTCTAATGTGAAATCATTCATTTGAATTTCCTGTAAAATGCTTCTAGCTGAATGTATAAGACAAATATTCATGGCAATAACTTGAAATTCACTTTTGAAAACCTTGGTTGCAGTTAACAAATCTCGTTTAAGTATTCAATTGAAATCCATTTTTCATTTGCAAAACCCACCAAATCTTCCAACTACTATTTATAATAATATATTTTGCTTTTCCAGTCTTCTCAACTACATGAGTTTTAGCCTTTTCTGATTCTTAGGACACTCAAGTACTTGATAAAGGCCAGGTGGCTTTGTGACGCAGCTGGAGTTGAGGGAAAGCGGAGGCGCAAGCGCACCTCCATCCTCCCTTTCACCGCCGCTGCCGCCGTGGGAATGGACACACCTGCCCACGTGCAGAAAGCCAGCTTGGCATGACAACGACCACCACCACCACCACCACCACCGCAGCTCCAGTGCGCTCCAACTCCTGCCCTGTGGAGGCTCTGTGCTTGTCGCTAGACAACCCGTTCACAACGATGGCCTCGAGCAGTCAAGGGCACTTTGATGCTTATGAATCACTGGATCTTACAGAATTTGCCAAAAACCAGCCTTGGTGGCGCAAGCTTTTCGGGCAGGAGACACGACCTTCAGGAGAGAGATACAGCGTGGCCACCCAGCTCCTGATTGGCGGTGTCACCGGCTGGTGCACTGGCTTCATATTTCAGAAAGTTGGAAAGCTGGCTGCCACAGCGGTAGGAGGGGGCTTTTTTCTTCTCCAGCTCGCAAACCATACTGGCTACATCAAAGTCGACTGGAAGCGAGTAGAAAACGACGTGAAAAAGGCCAAGGAGCAGTTGAAGATTCGGAAGAGCGCACAAATACCAACCGAAGTCAAGAGCAAAGCCGAGGAGATGGTGTCCTTTGTAAAGAAGAATGTTTTAGTAACTGGAGGATTTTTTGGAGGCTTTCTGCTCGGTATGGCATCCTAAGGGGTATATCTCTTCACTTCTACTGTTCAGCAGCTTCTACACTCCATCATAGGAAAATCCAGACTCTCCTCTTCCTCTTCAGGCATTCCTCCCTGTTGTAAATCTGAACCGCTTCCATAGGCATCTTTGCCCATGCAAGTAAACACAGGCCCTCCCATGGGCTTGACAAGCCAGGGGGAAGCACACACTCCATCTGGAGGCCAACAAGAATAGTCTTTTTCCTGTAAAATATGCCCCAAACCATCTTTAAGATCTGTCCCTAACAGTCAAGCTGGAGGAGCGGCGCACAATTACCTTACTATGTGCTTCGTGGAAAGGAACTGAATGTATCTGACTTTGAGCATGGGAAGAAAGAAAACACAGCAGGGACGGTTGTGGGAGTTCCACGAACTAGCCAGCTATTTTAGGGGGACAGTCTCCTTACAGAATTTTACAAGTAAATTGATTTACTTTCTTTTCCTCTTGACAACTACCCCAGTAAACTCTTAATTATCAGTTATCTTAGTTCAGCACTCAGTAATATGATACTTCAAAACGGGCCATAATTTAAATACCTTAAAGCTCCAGCAGGACCTTTTTTTTTTTTTTTTTGGAGGGTGGCAGTTGGGGTGGGCCTAGAACTTTGGTCACACTAGGCAAGGGCTTACCCCTAAACTATATTCCCAGCCTTTTGATACTTTTCATTTTGAGAGAAGGTTTTACTAAATTGCTCTAGCTGGCCTGGTACTTGACATCCTCACATCTCAGTTTCCTGAGGTGGGATTACAAACCCAAGCCACCAGAACAGCTTCCCCAAGACCTTAAGAACGAACTGAAAAACATCTTCGAGTCTACCTTGCCCTTCTCAATCTTCTCATTTGCCTTCTCCTCCAGGATTAGTTTGCAAGAACACATCTAGTTGGGTTTTCTACTTCAGGGTCTTGTCTACTTCAATCAAACAACAGCTGGAAGCTTCAGTGGAGAAGAAACTGCTTTCGGGCTCTTAGGTTTGGGGTACAATTTATATGCTTGCAACAATAGGATTTATTCATATTTTATTATTTGTCAGCCAGAGGACAAGCTCAGCTCTGGGAGACTATCCACAATTCTTTATCTCATACTGACTTTGTTCTCTCCATATGAGTCAAAAACAGCAGCTGACTTCTTTTCTTCATGGCCAGGTGGAGAGAGGCATAGTGGGCCCTAGGGGTCTAACATCTCTGCAAAAAGGACAAGTGTGTGAGTGCAATCAATGTTTCCATTTCCTGTTGCTTAGGAAGTAAAAATAATGGGTACTGCCCAAACTCAGCACTGTGAGCATCAGAAAACAATGATCTTAAGGACAACCTTGGAAATTAAATTCTACATGGGAAGAAGAAACTAATTGTACTTCTCAACTTTTGAGTATGGCTTTACACCTTTAATACCAGGATTAGACTTTCTTCATATTTCCACTAGGGGAAAAAGAGAACCCACACAAACTCAAAACAGCAAAAAACAAACAAACAAACAAAAAAACCTAAAACCACAAACTCCACAGACCTGAGCAACCACTTGTTTTTAAGCTAACTGGCTCCTTACAGTTTGTTTAAATCATGTTTATATTCTTCCATTCACTTAAAACTCTTAATTAAAAATAACAGTCCTCTGCAAAGTAGACTTTTCCAATTAGTACTTTGTCTTTTAGTCATTAAACAAATGGTAAATGGAAATTGGCTTTTATGGTTTTCCTTTTGAAAGGATCTCATGCAATTCAGGCTGACCTCAAATCAACCTGTAGCCAAGGATGACCTTGAACTCTGATCCACCTCCCTTCCTCCACCTTTAGCAAGTTTAACTAAAGGCACACACTACCACATGCAGCTGAAGACTGATTTCTTAACTGTTATCTCCATTACTTTAAAACTTATTAAAACCAGTTAAGTATGAACATACAGAAAGTATTTAAATTATTTATTTATTCTTTAAGAGTAAATGTCAGTGCGATCTATTAAAACGGAGATGTATCTTATTAGTACAGTGCTTTTCTGGTATATGTAAGGCCTTGGGTTCCTTTCCCAGCATCAAAAACCAACCAAAAGAATACTACCTAGCAAGGTATAGTGACAATTGACTGTAACCCTTGCACTGAATAGGATGAGGCAAGATGGTCATGAGTTTAAGGCAAACCTATGCTACTAAGACTTCATCTTAAAAAAAAAAAAAATGTATCTGAGTGATTAGTTTCAGGTCCTCCAAAAGATAAACCACATAATTTTAAGGTTGGAACTTTAGGCCAGTTTGACCTTCATAGGAGAAAGGAATTGTTCTATCACTGGGCCACATAGTTTATCATGTCTGAGTAATGTAAACCCAATACAAACTCTAGACACCAGCTTTGTTGGGACTCTGTCCAACAAATACCTTGATGTCTGGAGGGTGATACTTCCTGACTCCATATGTTTAAACCATGGCATCTCAATATTTGGGGCTGTATCTATCCTTTAAAACAGGCACTGAATGGGGTTTTCCAGAATCCTACCAGTTATTATGGCAAATTACTGATTCATAGGAAACTTAAGAAAAGCTTTAAACTTGCAGCCAAGTCAGAAGTTATTTTTCTTGAGGCCTGACATCCCCTGAAGTGAGACTGGCATCTAGGGCAGTGGTATCTGTGGATCTATCTACACCCTTAATTTGGTCAAGGGGTGGTGGTGGTGGTGGTTCTACTAAATGTATTGTATAGAGATGAGCAAAACTGGAAACAACAGCCAGTGTATTTTTTACCCAATAAATAAAAGAGTGTATTTGGGACATATAGTTTCAGAAAGTGAGTCTAGGGCTGATGAGGAAGCTCAGTAGGTAGAAGCACTTGCCACCATGCTTGATACTTTGATCCCTAGGACCCATGCAGTCAGGAGAGAACTGACTTCTCTAAGTTGTCCCAGCCTCCATCTGCACACCATATCATATGTATATGTGTGCTTGTGTGTGTATATAAATATATACATGTGTGTATACATAAAATATATATAAAACAAAAGTTAAAAAAATATGTTCTATACTCCCAAATGAGGTCAGCTCTTTGGATATATGGGGTTGGATGGAGATACAGTTTAAGGAAATGTGATTCTAAGTGATGAGCAATTATTGTTATGGTTTGGATCTGAAATGTCCTCTGAATGTCCTACAGGCTTGGTGCTCAGTTTATAAGAAGGTCGTATAACCTTATGAAGTGGTTTAGTTCCTGGGTATGTATGCCTGAGGTATAGCAAGAAACTGGCTCCCTCTCTTCTGTCTTCTTATTTCCTTCTCAATCCATGACCAGAAAGGATTGTTTCTGCAACATGTTCCATGTCATGATGTTCTTCCTTACCACAGACCTAAAAGCAAAGTGGTCAAATAAACAATGACTGAAACTATGAGCCCAAATAAACCTTTTTTTTTTTTTTTTTTTTTTTTTTTTTGTGGTAATGGTTTGAATGAGAATGGTCCCCATAGGCTCATATATTTGAATACCTGGTTCCTAGTTGGTGGAACTGTTTAGGAAGATTAGGAGGCATGTAAGACCTTATTTGAGGTGTGTCAATGGAGGTGGGCTTTGAGGGTCCAAAAACCTACACCATTCCCAGTTCATTCTCTCTGCTTCATGTTTGTGGATCAAGATGTAAACTCTTAGCTACTGCTCTAGCACCATGCCTGCCTGCTGACACATTCTTATCACAATGGCCACTGACTCACTTTCTGGAACTATATGTCCCAAATACACTCTTTTAGAAGTTGCCTTGGTCATGGTGTTCCCACAGCAAGAGAAAATATGACACTTTTTTCAGTTTACGTTGGTTTTTGAGGTATTTTGTTACAGAGACAGAAACCCAACAATGATTTAAACTATTTTACTACTTGAATCTTTCTGTAATGATTCACATTTTTGTACCCATATTTTTATATATACTTATTAAATTGCAAAACAGCTGCATGCTACTGTAATACAGGTCTTGTCTTTTTCTAGTATACACTAGGATAAAACATCTCTTCTGGAATATCCATGCATCATGACATTGTTTGTTTGTTTTCTATGTGAGAAAACAAACAAAACCCAAATATTCTCCAACAAGAAACTGTATGCTATTCAAGAGTTATTTCACTTCTGTCTTATTTATTTATTTATTTTTTCATTTATTCATTTATCTATCTATCTATTTTTATTTATTTATTTATTTATTTATTTATTTATTTATTTATTTATTTATTTATTGTCTCTCTACATGGCCCTGGCTGTTCTGGAATTCTATATAGACTATATAGACCAGGCTAATCTTAAACTCACAGTGATCTCTCTCTGGCCCATGTGTGCTGGGATTAAAGGCAAATGCCAACATACCCGGAGCACTTTTTAAAAATTACACTAATTTCTGCATGTGTGTCAAAGCACCTAATGACCATAAGCTTTCAAATAATTTGCAATGAACAATATTCATTATATACTAAATTGTTCAATCCTTTGTTTTTCAACCCTGCATTAGAAAACTTTCTAAATCACTTTGCTTTTCTATGTAAAAGACTGCTCCAAGCCTACTGGCAGCATATTTTCTTGCTACATTTACCTATTAGCAAGCAATTCACATGTGAAGAACAGAAAGCAAATCAAACACACAGAACTTAATATGTATTTGTTTCTGAAATCTGGTATTTTACAGATCTTCTTAAATCCCATTTCAGTCCCAAAGCAGTATACAATGAAGACTTTTCTGAATCTCTAAATGGTATGATTCTTTCTCTTTGCTGCATGTGTGTATGTAGGCTTACATGCCTGTGCAGGCAGTGGCCAGAGGATACTGGGTGTTCTGCTGTATCACTTCTCTGTCTTGAGATGGTGTTCAGTGAGCAATCTTACTGAACCCAAAGCTAGAGCTGGCAGCCAGTAAGCCCTAAGAATCCTCGCTTCTATCATTCAGGTGGTGGTGGAGTTATAGACACATGCAGCAATGCCCAGACTTTAACAAAAGGGTTGGGGACTTCAACTCAGATCCTCTTGCTTGTGTAGAAAGTATTCTTACCCACTGAGCCATCTCACATCTTCTAAAAATGTATCTTTCTAGGCAGAACTGGCTATGTTCAGGATATCTAGACCTATGATTTTCTAAGTTGGGATAAAGACAATATCAATTTACAATAAAGAAGTGCCATCTGGAGCTATTCCAGGTACTAAAAGGACTCAGGTCAAGCAAGACACCAGTGAGATCCTGCAGAAGTAGCAGCCACTTTTGAAGTATCAGGCAAAACAAACACAACTGCCACCTACATTTTAAAATAGCAACTGTGAAGAGGAAAAACAAAGTGGAACAAAAATAGAAGTATGATCACAGTGCCAGGGAATGAAATGTCTTTCCTAGAAATGAGTTTTATTGCTAATGTGGCACTCACAATCTAGAAATACTACTCCAACCAGTACTTTTAAATCTCCTATTACTCTGATATCTAAGTATTTAAACGAACATTACTTTTTTTTTTTTCATACTCCTCCCCCGCCCCCCGAGACCAGGCTTCTTTGTGTAGCTTTGACAGTCCTAGAACTCACTCTGTAGAGCAAGTTAGCCTCAAACTCAGAGGCCTCCTGCTCTCCTTCTCAAGTGCTGGGATTAACGGTAAATACCATCACCTCCCCGATCTTCCTAGAATTTTATCATGTGTATGTATTTCAAAGGCATAAGCAGAATTACAAAAATGTCACCATGGTAAGAAACCTATTTCTGCAAGCTGTCCTCTGACCTCCTCACATGCTCTGTAGCACATGAGCATTTGCACATAAACTAAATGTTAAAAAGGCAATAATTTTTAATCCACCATGTACAATAACATTCATTTTACCCCTCAAAGGAACCTAATTTTCATTTCATTTTAAAAAAATTTATATTATGTATATGAGTGTTTGTCTGACTGTATGTATATGCACCATGTATGTGTCTGGTGCCTGTTGAGGTCTGAAGAGTGCATTAGATCCCTTAGAATTGGATGACAGTTACCAGGTGGGTGCTGGAAATTGAATTCTGGTCCTCTGCAAGAACCACAGTGCTTTTAACCTCTGAGCCATCTCTCCAGTCCATTTCACACTTTTTAATCACAAAAAGTTCAACTCTGTTAAAATCCACTACTTTTAGGCAACCAATTTAAATACTTTTACATGGAAGAAGAATAGGAGAAAAAGTGCTGGGGGGGGGGATATAACTATATATTCTGAACAATTATTCAAGAAAACCCAACAAGGGTTTGGGTATATAACTCAGTTGATAACTTTCCTGTAGCGCACTTGCAAGGTTTAGTTCAATCCCTAGCTTCACCAAAAAAGAAAAAGGGGAAAGAAAAGAATACCAAACAGGTCCCACATCTTTGAGTAATACATTCAGAAAGACATTCAATCTCTTCAACTTTTGCTCCTCTTTTTGGTGGCCTATTTAAAAAAAAAGGGAGAGGGAGATGGAGAGATGGCTCAGTTATTAAGAGCACTGGCTGTTCTTCCAGAGGACTTAGATTCAATTCCCAGCACTCACCTGGCAGCTCACAACTGTCTGTAACTCCAGTTCCAGGTGATCTGACACCCTCACACCAATGCACATTTAAAAACAACAACAACAAAAGACTGGTTGGTCTTGCACAGTTCCAGGGCTTCTGACACCCTCACACAGACATAACACCAATGAACATAAAATTTAAAAAGAAAACAAGCAAACCCACTGTTGTCCTCCCTATGTCCGCTTTGATTGCTATGTGTGTTTCAGAGTTTATTTGGATTTCAGGAGTTTTCTATGTACTCGCTGCATGTGTTTTTGTAGTCTGAAGTCATCAGTTGGAAGCAGTAATGGAAAGACCTAACTAAGTTTCCCCAGTAGCTGTGTGACCTTGAGTGAGCCACCTCAACTTGAAAGTGGGAAACTATACTTGGCTTAATACAGAACAACAAATTATTTAAACAAACACTGAATGCTTGTTTTGCTATTAAGAAATATGAGAAAATAGTATTGTTATTCTGTTTACCGGAAACCTGATGGTAAACAGCACAGGTTTTACTGTCAGAGGAGTCCTATTTCTTGAATTCAAGCCATTGTTGGTTAGTTGTGCAACCCTTAGCAACTTACCTACTATCTCTGCCTTTCACTCCTCTACTTGAGACAATCCCTCTTCTCTTGAGAAAGACAATTGTAGGGATGAAATGATGGAACTGAATTAAGCATGCTTTCCAACATACACTACATTCTGCTTGCTGGAATGCTAAATTTTTCTTCTTTCACTACATATACACCACAGACTGTGCCAGCATTCAGGGATTAGGAAAGACAACTATGACACAGGAAACAATATCTTGGTTGACAAATACTTCGTTTTCTACCCATCTATATTCTTGGAACCAATCACAAGAATACACAGGTTTGTTACTATAAATGCATCTGCAAGACTTGAATGCAATCAAGTATCGAATCAGGGCTGGATTCAGCAGATAATTAACAGAAGACACATTTTAAGTTTAGCTGTTTTCTAGTAGCCTCATTGGCTACACATGAGATGATCACAAATGAAAGATTAGAGGTAAGGTGATGGCAAGACCTCAAAACGGAGAGCTCATAGGATGCAGGACAATCGCTAAGAGCTAGTATCTATTCAACAATTGAAACTGGATTCCAATTCTGACATCTCCCCACCGAGCGAGTCTAGGTAACTTCTCTCGACCTCAGGTCACAGTATGATAGAAATGTGTCTGCTTTACACATCTCCCAGGATAAGTGTGATTAATGAAATCACAGGACAATGTTATCCAGTGCTAGCAAAAACGTTAATTTATGAAACAAACAATGACTTCTGGCACCAATTAGCTGACAAGGCATGCAGCGACCAGGAAGTAAACAGCACTTGAGTCTACTGAATATTTACGTTCCTGATGAAAGTATCCGCTTGGAGCTAAGCAGGCTCTGCTGAGGGGCTTTTTGCAAAGCTGAGGCCCGGGGGCTGGGAACAGGGAACCAGCGAGACAGCACAGCTGGTTGCTACCTCACTCTGGTCCCTCAGTCCCTTCAGGTGAGGAGGCAGCGACGCGGCAGCGGGTAGCTGCCATCAATCCCGTTCCTTAGTCCCTTCAGGTTAGGAGCCGGGGGCCAGTAGGGTTGGGGCGCAGGGGTCGCCAACGGCCTCCCCTCGCACCAGGACCAGGATGCCCTCATGCCGCCTTGCACGTACGCAGCAGAGGCCAGGGGCTCACCGACTGCTACTTACAGGCCGCTCGCGGACGCACACCTGAAAGGGAGCCCGCCGAGCCTCCTGGCACCGCCGCTCTCCGCGATCTAGGGAACGGACTTTGGCCTCAGCTCGGACAGCCAAGCGCCGAACCTCGTCACGTACCCAGCAGCAGGCCAGCTGCCAGCCTGGCGGGCAAGAAGGCCGACCCCGGGGCGGGGCGCCCGAAGGACACGCCCCGAGCAGCGGGCTCCGGCCTCGCTCCACCCTTTCCGGCCCGCTCCGCCTCCGCCACCACCGCCGCTGTCACCGCCGCCAGCCGCGCGGCCTCGGCCCCACACGTCCCCGGAACAGCCGGTTCGCTTCCGGCACGCGCACGCGCACGCGCAGCAGTGTTTTGACAGCTCCGGCCGAGGAGAAGGAGCAGCTGTCGCGAGAGTTGGCGGCACGCCGCCTAGTGAGGGCTGTCATTATGGCGAGCCTGGGAAGCGAGGCGGAGCGGGAGCCCCTCCTGGGCCCCGGCTCCCCCGGAAGCAGGTGAGCGAGTTGGGTGGGACTGGCTGGAGTTCTGCGTGTCCACCGCCCGGACCCGGAACTCGGCTGTCTATGCGCAGGCCCAGCGGTCCCTCCGCCCGACCCCAGGCTCCCGGATAATCGGGTTTACTTGGGAATAGTTGAGAGTCGTTACCCGGGTACTAAAGCTTGGTACAGGGAGAACTTGGGTACCCAGAAAGCCGGGGAGGGGCATGCTTCCCATAGGGGTCATAGGTCGCAGCCTCTCCGCTTTGTAGCCTGTGTGGACTCTAGAACTCTGCAGTCCCGAGGCTCCTGTCTCATTCCTGTTATTGGAGTTCCTTCCTGCTTGAGAGCTTCGTTAGTTTTCATTTTCGATGTTTCTTTAGTTTTGTAGAAAGTAAAGAAACCTAAGCTGCCTCCTTTATGGCAGACACTGCTTGATAAGTTCTTCATATTTTGCAAATAAACCCGTTAAAAGTGGCTCATCTTTTGCTCAATATCACAGGTACAAAATAAAGATCAGTCTTCAAGCATTTCGTTAGTATTTTGATCCTAATTTATGAGCACTGACTTAGGAAAGTTTGGACCTGTTTCGCCGCACCAGTATGTGTTTTTACCTTTAGGAAACAGTAAAGCTGGACGAGGTGGCGCAAGCCAGTAATCCCAGCGCTCAGGGAGGCAGAGGCAGGAGGATTTCTGCGTTCAAGGCTAGCCAAGGCCACACACAAGAAACCCTGTCTTGCAAAACAAAACAAAAAGCAAACGATGCTGAAATTTGTTTTCAAAAAGCAGTATCCCCAGGCCTGTTGAGGCTTGTGGAGCTATTGGCTTCTGTACTATTTTTTTCCTGTGCTGCTATTCTTTTGGAGTTCATAAAGCTTTGTAGTTATTCTCCCTCTTCCACTCCTAGAAGACCATCACTTACCTTCATTTTGAAATCTGTCAGCGACTTCTTTTCTTCCAGGCTTATTACTGTGTCCCTGAAAGCCAGTTATTTGTACTTACTGGAATTTATGCTTACAATGTACAGGCTCCAACAGAGGACTAGAGAGCTCCCATTGTTAGTCAAGTGTGTTAGTCTGTGACATTTCCATTTCTTAGCATTCTTTTTGCTGCTTTTTTCTTTTTTTTATATTTTGCATTATATCTGTTTTTCAGACAGATCATGGGATCCGTGAGTCATAGATGTATGGTTAACCATATAAATATAATTTTATGATTGTCCATGTTGTAATCTTATCCAGATAAGCCTACTTTAATATATTTTTCTCTTTATACTTCTTTTAAATAAGTGATTGTGTTAGGATTCATCTACAATGAGAAGTTCCTGTCTATAAAGAGTTCATTAAATTGAGGTTCTCTATTTAAAATTAAATTTTATTTTTAAAATATATTTTAAGTCAGGCACAGTGGCACACTAATCCTGACACTCAGGTAGGCAGAGGCTAGTGGATCTCTGTAAGCTCGAGGCCAGCCTGCTCTACAAAGGGAGTCCAGGACAGCCATGGTTACACAGAAAATTATTTTTTATAAAAATAAAACGGAAATATTTTCAGAACAATTCAACAAATGTACTGTCTTTAAATTTGTAAATCGATTCTCTAGTTGTGAATGACAAATTTTATTCACATTTACTTAACAAATTTTGTTAGCCAACAGCCCTTCCTAGCTAACAAGCTTGATTATGTTATTAGGTCTTTTTTTTTTTTCTTGAATGTCTAGTACTCTCATCTGATCTTTATGAGTTTGATTTAAGAGACAGGGGTTGACACATTTTTTTTTTTTTTTTTTCTGTAATGGGCCCATTGGTTTAGGTTTGTTGAGGCCAAAAGGCTAAGTCAAGAAAAGTGTAGAAACTTAGACAAGAGAAAATATACAAATCATAATATGTGGGTGCATTATTTGTTGAGTAGGTTAGTCTATTGATGAGAAAAGGGGACTTTGAAGTTAGTGTTTTGTCATCAAATTGGTAACAAATATTCACCTGCAAACTAGTCTTAGCTTTTAAGCTACATACAGACAGATGGTGTCTAGATTTGACCTGCAGATTATAGTTTGGTAGCCCTACTTAGGGTTTCCTGAAATACTACAGATACTTCAAATTTTTATGGCAATGTTATTCTGTAAAAGAAATGTTCCTGCCCCATCTGTCCTTACATTGCTTGCACACAGACATACACACTTTTCTCTTTCTTTCAAATTCTCATTATGTGCCCAGGCTGGTTCACAACTCACTCTGTGGTAGAGGCTGGCCTTGAATTCAGGGTCTTCCTGCTTTTCCTCCCAAGTAATGCAGTAAGAGTAACCGTGCTAAGTGTGCTTGTCTTACCGTGCACACCTTTCGCTTCTGTTATGGTACTGCTCTCTCAGGAGACATAGCCTTCTTTCTCGGAATCCAATGTTTATTTATTCATATTACGCTTTATCTATGTGTTCAGTTCACAGCAGTGTATTGTGTACTTTTCCTGGATTTTTTTTTTTTTTTCTGAGACATGATTTCTCTGTATAGCTCTGGCTGTTGTGGAACTTGTTCTGTAGACCAGGCTGGCTCATAGAGATCTGCCTGCCTGTCTCCCAAACCCCCTTGGAAGAAAGTACACCATTTCTTTCACTCACTTGTTTGTTTATTTTGGCTTCTGTTTGTTTAGACAGGGTCTCACTATGCGCCTCTGGCTGGCCTGGAACTGCTATGTAGACCAGGCTAGCCCAAAACTCGAAGAAATCCTATCTCTGCCTCCTTTGTTTCTCTACAGCTCTGAGTGCTGGGATTAAAGGCATGTGCCACTACTCCCAGCTACAGTATTTCTTCTTAGAACCTGGTAAAGCAGGAGCTGTGTAAAAATTAGCTTCAGACAGCTGACATGTTTGTGTCATCAAAGTTAAAAAAGATACAATAAATGTAGAAAATTAACTGAAGAATAGCCGTATTCTGCAGTTCCTGCTATGACAAAATAGGAAGACAAATGAATTGTTAGATTTCTAAATTTTTAAAAAAGGACAAAATAAAATTTATTACTTTAAAAGATTTTAAATACATGGAAAAGTTGAAAATAGCAGTTTAGTGATACCTAAAGCCTTTTCTTTTTTTGGAGTTTTGTGTTTTATTTTTCGAGACAGGGTTTCTCTGTGGAGCTCTGGCTGATCTGTAACTGGCTCTGTAGATCAGGCTGGCCTTGAACTCACAAAGATCTTAGTCCTCTGCCTTCTGAACACGGGATTAAAAGGCGCGTGCTACCACTGCCCTCTTTTCTACACCAATCAAATGTCTTTTATTATAAATAAATAAACAGACAAATATCTTTTTATGTATGCACACACCTTTTGTCAAACTAAAGTAAGTTTCAAACACTGTAACGCTTCTTCCAAGTATGTTATTAGAGGCTGCCTCTCCCAAGAACAAATACATTCCTTCCGCAACTCCATCAGTACTGTACACCTAGAAACACTTAACTCACCAGTATTATATAACTTACACTCTGTATTCATTGGTCCTTCAGTTGTCCCAATAATATAATGAACACACACTTTATATATATAATGAACTCACTTTATATATACTAGCCAATCACATTTCATGTGTTGGTTCATGAAGTTTTAAACTCTTTAGCTTAGAACTGTCCTAGTACTTGGGACAGTGCTGGACCTATCTCTTGCTTATGTTACAGTTGACTTCTAGGTCTGTGTCAGTGTTGCTAAGGGCTATCTTAAAATCTAGATCCATAAACTGTTTCTTGGTTACAAGACTGTCACATAAGTACTACAAAGAAATTCTAATATATTCCATCAGAAGTGCAGACTTCCAGGTCCCATGATGGGAATGTCAGACTCTATCAGTTGTTAGAAGAATGGATGCTGCAGTTTTCATCATATTAGTTTTTTGTTCTGTGGTGAGCGTGTAGGCAGTGATGGTAACCCTGCCCTCAAATGGCCCTTCAACCAAATACTTGAGCATTTTTGTTTTCATCCATTATTATATAGAAAGTAGCCATTATATTCTAACTTTAAATTTTCTCATCATGTTAGTATTTATGAGATATCCTCATAAGAACACAATTAGAGGCTGGAGAGATTTCTTAGCAGTTATGAGCATTTGCTGTTCTTTCAGAAGACCCAAGTTTGGTTCACCATAGGGCAGCTCATAAACATCTGACTGTTTCCAGTGGATTTGTCACCCTCTACTGGCCTGCATGGGTACTGCATACATTTGGTTCACTGAACAGATATATGCAGGAGAAACTTCCATGCACATAAAATAAAAGTAAATTTAAAAAGTAAAGAAGAAAATTAAAAAAAAAATGAGGCAGAGTCTTGCTATATATCCCAGGCTGATGTTGATCTTGACATCTCAGCATCGTCCCCATTTTCTTCCCCCAACTTGAACCTAGTCAGGCCTTGAAGTTACTACGTAGCTCAAGATGACCTTGAATTCCTGATCTTGCTTAGTGTTGGGACTCTGAGGCAAACACCGCACCTCTTTGCCCCAGCTTCTTAAGAGCTATGATTATGGGCTTGGCAAAAAAACTTTGTTTTCTGTGAGACAGGATCTCACCCTACAGTCTGGGCTGCCCTACATTCACGACATAGCCAAGGTTGCCATTGAACTTGTAACTGCCTTTTAGCTAGGAAAGTTCTTGTTCTTTGAGACAGGGTTTCTCTGTGTATCCTTGGCTGTACTGGAACTTACCAGGCTGACCTTGAACTCACAGAGATCCTCCTAGCTCTGCTTCCCAAGTGCTGGGATTAAAGGTGTGTGCCCCCACTGCCCTGATAGTACTTATAAAGTGATCATGTGTTTATTTTTAATGAGCAGAGAATAGTAACTAAAAGTATAATACTAACCAAGTATTAAATTGATACAAGAGTCTGTACTGTGGGATTCAGTGATGCATGCTTCTCCCAATAAGTCATTAACTGCAATGACATACGTTAAATTCAGGCATATTGATTTTATAATATACACATCTTGAGTTCTAGTCTTTTTCAGGTATTTTATATCACAATTAAAACTCTCTATGTACACTATCTTATATATGCAGTACTTTAATGGGAGCTGGAAAGATGGCTCAGTGTGTGAGGGAACTTGCTTCTGAGCTTGATGACCTTAACTTTGATTTCTAGATCTACAGGGTAGAAAGAGAGAACTGACTCCACATGTACACTGGAGCACACAAACATTATACATAATAAATAAAAATCTGAATAAATGTAATAAAAATGAAGCACACATATATTAGTAAGGAATATCCTTGGCAAATAGTACATCTAAACATGTTTTTCTTCTTCCCTTTCTACCATTTCTTTCCTTTTTGTTTGTTTGTTTGGTTTTGTTTTGTTTTTGAGACATGGCTTCGTTGTGTAGCCTTGGTTATCCTGGAACTTAGTCTGTAAGTCAGGCTGGCCTGGACCTCACAGAGATCCTCTTGCCTCTGCCTTCCAAGTACTGGAATCAAAAGGTGTGCTCTACCACCGTCCAGGTTCTTTTTGCCATTTCTAAGCACATTACATTTGAAAAGAGAAAGCTCTTCATTGATGATTAAATTTTGACAACATCAAGGTCTATTATATAAAATACCTTGAGGCAAGAGGATTTAGCCTCTAGAAAGCATGGACTATGCAGGAAGACCTTCTCCCAACAAAACTACAGCTGCAAAAACAACTAATCAGCCAAGCTCTTTCTCTAAAAGGAAATACTCTTGAAATATAATTAGGCATTTTGTCTTTTAAGTGCATCTTGATTTTGGGGAAGAGTAGTGCTTGCATCAAGGTAAGTTTGCCAACTCTGGTATGTGTATGATCATTTAATGAGCACAAACATTCAGGTGTCACCTCATAGAGGGAGGGTGTCAATCAATATACTCCCTTTTAGTCCAGATTGTAGATTTACCAGAAGACAAAAACTAGTCTGCTGTATCACCATAAGCTCTTTGGTCCACAAGTAGAATTTATTTGGCAGTTCACATGAGAGCCAAAGTCAGTGCTCCAGGAAGCTCCAGCCTCGGACTGTCTTAGGTTACATCATTCCAGTCAGACTGGCTCACAGCAAAATTAATATGCTTCCATCAAGTATGGCATGCCAGAAACTTGAGAGTAATTATGTAAAAAGTGTCTTTACTGTGTTCATCCCTTCTTTTTTGTGCGAGTGCAGGTATCTGTGTGCCGTGATAAACCTGTAAAGGTCGGTCTCCAATTTTGGGGAGTCACTTCTCTCTTTCCACCATGTGGGTTCTAAGAAGGAAATTCAGGTCATCAGGCAAGCACCTTTACCCATCTCACCACTCCTAATAAGAATCCATTTTCAATATATCCCAGTTTGGGGGAGATCTATTTCTTGTAGCTATTTTATATAGTTTTTCTTAAAGTTTATTCATCCTGTTAGATTAACACATTTCTGTTGTACTCAGAAATAGAAAAGTAGAGCTAGGGAAATGACTCAGGAGTTAAAATACTTGCTGAGCAAGCAAGAGGACTAGAGTTTGTCCTCAGAAACACGTGTGTCCTGTGGGTATGGCAGCTCGCCTCTAATTCCAGCAGTGGAAGTCAGAGACAGGGCTTCCAGAGCAGCCTGGCTAGCCAGACTAGCCATATCTGCTTTGTGGCCTCTGTGCACATACACAGCATATAAGCATGAAAACCTGAAAAAGAAAAGTATTTTTTCAAAGCAAATATTTTACTTTTTAAAGGTATTTTTTATCTTCCAAATGTTTATATACAATGGTGCATTAATACAGTCCTACAATCCACTGATATTTAAAATGTTTTTTTCATAGGCGAATTAGTGTAACCAGAGCAAATATTAATACTTTTTTGCCTGTTATATAACTTTACTATCCTTGGTGGAGGGGTCCTGTTTTAGGAACTCACTCTAGACCAGGCTGGCCTTGAACTCAGAGATCCATCTGCCTCCGACTCCTGAGGATTAAAAATGTGTGCTGCCTCCAACTGGCCCCAAACCTTCTTATCTTTAGAGCAGAGAAAGTAAAATTATTATGCAAATACCTGCTCCTCATGATCAGGAGGTCCAGCCCTTGTGTGATACCTGAAATGCTTGGGATTCCCAATTCTTGGCTCTTCGGAGGAGAAGGTGTAGATATCTTCCTGCACGTGCATTTTTGCTGCAGTTCACTGAATGCAGTCAGGTGGTGGAATCACCACACTGAGTTACTCTAATATTTTGGATTTGGAATTTCGGCATTAGGGACACTCAACTCTGTTAACCCTTTTTCTTCTTTCCACCTAGAGAATGGGATATGATAGAAACCCAAGAGCACTACAAGAGTAGGTGGAGATCTATTAGGATTCTCTACCTCACTATGTTCCTCAGCAGTGTAGGTAAGTGTTGGGAGTTACACACTTCATTCAGAGTGAAACGCTTTAGCTTTGTGGTCATTTAAGATTACTTACTTATCTAGTTATTTGTTATTTATTGGTTTTGTTTGTTTGGTTAGGTTTGGAGACAAGGTTTTTCTGTGTAGCTCTGGCTGTCCTGGTTCTTTCTCTGTAGACTAGGCTGGCCTTAGAGATCTGCCTGCCTCTACCTCCCAAGTGCTGGGATTAAAGGCATGCTTGGTTTGTCTATTTACAAAAGGCCTCAGTATATGGTGCTAGGATTACAGGTAAAGTGGACTTTTTAATGCTCTGGGTGGGAGAGGTTTTAAGACAGTTTCAGTGTTTATCCTACCCCAATGATCCTCCTGCTTCAGCCTCCTAAGTGCTGAGATTGCAGGTATGGGCCACCAGGTCTGCCTGGGAGTTGGTTCTCTAACTCCTTTATTCGTCAGAGTCAATTCATTTCTAAATACACAGAGAGCTGGGTGTACCTCAGTGGTAGAGTGATGCCTAGCATGGCCAGGGTCCTGAGGTTCCCAGCACTGCGAAAATAATAATAATAATAATAATAATAATAATAATAATAATAATAATAATAATAA